CAGCAGGGCAGGCCCTATGAGGAGAGGCTACGGGACCTGAACCTATTCAGCCTCCACAAGAGAAGGCTGAGGGGGGATCTAGTGGCCATGTACAAACTAGTCAGAGGGGACCAGCAGGCATTGGGGGAGTCCCTGTTCCCCCGAGCATGACCAGGAGTGACTAGAAATAACGGTCACAAGCTGGCAGAGTGTAGATTCAGACTAGACATCAGGGAGGCGCTACTTCACTGTCAGGGCGGCTAGGATCTGGAACCAACTTCCAAGCGAAGTGGTGCTGGCTCTTACCCTGGGAGTCTTTAAGAGAAGGCTAGATGAACACCTTGCCAGGGTTGTTTGATCCCAGTACTTTTTCCTGCCATGGCAGGGGTTGGACTTGATGATCTGCTCAGGTCCCTTCCGACCCTACTGACTATGAAATTATGTGTGTGTTTGTTTGGACATGCCCTTTGGAGGACAAGTTTAGGAGTCAATATGACTTGGATAAATTGGAGGAAAGGTCTGAAATAAATAGGAAGGATGGAATTCAATAGGAATAAGTGCAAAGTCCTGCATTTAGGGTGGGATGGTCTAATACAATGTACTGATACAAAATGGCTAGGCTGCAGTACTACAGGAAAGGAGACTGGGAGTACAGCGGATTGCTGTCCATTGCAGTCCATGAACATGAGTCAATACTGGAGTATTGCTGCGGAAAAAAAAAAAAAGCAATAGCATCCTGTGATATATTAACAGGCATGTTGCTTGCAAGCTACAGGAGGCAATTCTTCCACTGCGCTGAGCCCTGGTAAGACCTCCTTTGCAGTACTCTTTCCTGTTTTGGGTGCCACACTTCAATGAAGATGCAGATAAATTAGAAACAGTTCAAAGGAGAGCAACAATAAAAAAAAGTCTAGAAAATGTGACATACAAGAAAACACTTGGAAGAATTGGGGTTATTTAGTCTGAATAAGACCAAACTGAGGAGAGTGTTATGAAAAGGATGCTGATCAACAGTTCTCTACCTCCAAAAGGAACATGACAAATACTGTACTTAAATTGCCACAAGGAAAATTTAGGTTGGCTTGTTTATTAAGAAGAACTTTCCAACCATGAAGGTCATTAAGTACTGTATCAGATTACCTAGATGGGTTGTGGAAGCTTTTAAATACAGGTTAAATAAACACTTTTTCAAGGGATGTCCTGCCTAGAGCAAGGGTTTGAACTAGGTGATTTCTTGAAATGCCTTCCAACCCTATTTTTCTAGAAGAGTGCAGGCTGGTTATAACAAGGAGACTGTTACTACTGCTCTGTAATACTATATAAGAAACTTGGGTTCAGTGTCAGCCTGTGGCTTTTATTCTCCAGGTTGGCAGATGCTGGTGGTTCTCCTGGGAGGTCATGACTTATGATGTCACTATGCATTAATGTCCCTGGCTGACACAGTAGTCTCCATGGGTAGGAGAATGATGATCGTGACTGCAAGCCTCAGGGGTGGGAAGTAGAGAGGGTAGAAATAAGGCCTTTAAGGCGATGAGAAGATGGAAGCCCTCTTTACTGGAAGTGAAACAAACACAGAGGAACTCTTTCATTTTAAACCTAAGTATAAAATCAGCTAAATATAAATGATGGTTAAAGGAAATGCAGAAACCAAATCCTATCAGTTCTTCCCTGAATGTGGAAGTTGAAAGCTTTTTTAAAATGAAACTGTTCAGAGGGAAACAAATCTTCCAAACCATGTAGATTTTTTGGTTGGCAGTGGAGAGCACGATTGTTCACAGATTTTTATTCACTCGTCTTTTTGCTGAGACAAATGAATCTAGCAACTCTTGGAAAAAGCCACACAAGCTGTGACCACTAGAGGTCCCACAGCTAGAGCAGGTCAATGAAAGCTCCAGTTAGAATCAACAGGGCTTACTTCCAAAGCAAGAAGTGAAACCTGAGTACAACAAAGAAGATTTACAAGAAATCCCCTTACAGTGCTTGTTTCATTTTGACCGAACACAGAAAATCCCCACCATGTTAATATAATATTACAGGCCTGGCTTAAATGGAGAAATGCAGAGCTCAGGCAGAAAACTATCCTGTTGTGATGTCCCTAGGCACTGCAGTGCTGTGCAATTTTTCTCCCGGACCAGATTCTCATCTCTGTTAGGTTAGAGCAAATCCACGGACATCACAAGCATAAGGATCTGACTTGGTGAGCACCATGCTGGCCAAGAACATCAAGACCTGTCAGCCAGGGCTAGTGCTGTCCAAAACAAAGGAATCAAAGCAACTCCCAACCCCTGCTGAAACTAATGGGAAGAAAAGCAGAAGGGTGAGGGTCCAATTCCCCACTGCATTACATCATCTTTAAGCTGGTGTACACTCCCTTGATCATACTGGAGCAACACAGGGATGAATCAGGCTCCCCAGGCTCACAACAAATAGTTTTTATGTTTTCCTGCCATGACGCAATGATCCTGCCATCTGAGCGACTGCTCAGAACTGGACAAAAAGCTCAGGGCTGAAAGCTGCTCCTTCCACTCCCAGTGTCACAGTCTACTGGAAAATAATGCGAGGCTGGACTTTGGGGATCTCAACTAAAGAAAAGAAATGTCTCGAGGAAGCTCTTTATTCCCAGCATGGGCTGGTGGTTTTTGTCACCCCTTGATTCCTATGTTATCAGTAGGAGCCCCCCCTGTTAAACAAGTACTGTTTAATGTATGTCTCACTGCACTCTCACTATTCCTATTTTATACATGGGGAAACTGAGGCTGGAGGTAAAGAGCTCTGGCCAAGACCATATGATGGCCTTTTTTTTAGCCCTTTGAAAATTTAATCTGAGAGACAAAGAAATGGTCCACTTATTCTAAATCAGAGCAGACATTCACAGCTGACATAGGCTAGGATTTGTTAGCTACTGCCCCCCCATAGCAATGCTCAGCTCTTACATAAAAGGCTGAAGGGTAAAACTGACCA